ATTTTCAGTCTAGTATGCGAACTCTTTAAAAAAATTGCTTTCAACGCAATCGAGCAAACTTTATAAAGAGCCAGAAGTAGTTTTCTTTTCACATTCAACGCCGTCTACAACATAAAAGCCCCTTTCAAACATACAGACAACTATGCCTCGTGCCTGATAGCTCATATGACTAACGAATCGTTTTGTCGTCGCTACTCTAAAGTACTATTAAATGGTATAATAACTCAAGCAAAGGCAACCAAAATCTGTCACATGAAATAAGCAGAAAAGAGCACAGCACATGAGTCCACAACAGCCGACGGCCACTGTTTTTGTTTTGCATTATTTGCTCCGAATTTCTCGCTGAGGAAATTAAAAATAAAACGCATACATTATGGGTAGGAAAGAACTGGCAGGAGGCGTGTGAAGGTCAAGCGAGATAAGATTTTATGCGGTATATGTGTGAGTAACACGCGTTGATGGGCCACAGCTGATACAGACGCTGATGACGGACGTGACACTTGCAGAATGAACGAAAATGAAAGCACAACCGCTTCAGCTTCAGCCCCGACCCACAACCGAATAATTGGGTCGCAGACAAATACTTGCCATGCACTATATGGTATATAAGGGTGCATCGCTTTGGACTTCAGAAAAGCAATTTTTGGACGTACTTAACACTACGTTTTTGAAAGGGAAATCTCGTAGAGTAGGTCTGGCATTTTATTGATTTCGCTTTGACTACGTCCACCACCCGACCAATGCGCCGCTGTTTCGAGGCTCTACTGCAGCTCTAAAGTCTCTAACGTTATATTAAAGAAACCACACGATCAGAGGAGGTTGAGCTGTAACATTCCTTCACAACAAATGGAAAGAAAATATGATTTTCCTGCACGTTTTGGCAGTCACAGCAGTTGCCGGTAGTGGTTTAACAAATGATTTTATTTGAATGTGATACACCAGTCTACGAATGTTGTTGGCGCTCGACTTGTGCGCCCTCATTATATACATATGGTGCATATGTTAGCTGCCTGCGTCCATTCGTTTGCCCCGTTACTACTCCCCCCCATTTCGTAATTTTATGTACTTTTAGCACAACTTCGGCTGGTCAATGTAACACATTTCGTGTGAGTTAACTTTTCCCGAGCAAAAATGAACATACCCTTTTTGGTTTTCGTTTTTTGTTTTGCATATTTTCGCTCGGGTCCATTTGAAGTTTTTGCCCAGCGCAAGGACCACAGGTGGTCATGGCGAATTGATGTCAAGAATTACAATTACCGAAAGTCAAGACCGTGCAGTGGAAACTAATGAAAACGGCATATGAGCACATGGGCACAGTGCATGATTAATGAAATGCCAGCTGAAAGGGGCGCGGCGGTTTCGGTTTGCTACGAATATGACAGGTTATGCAAGGCAAATCATGTTTCAAGTTTCAAGAGCAAACAAGAAAATGACGAAGTGTGTTTTTACATTCTGACAGCCGTCGTTTGTCTAACGACATTTAAATGTTTTTTTTTTCATAATTTCTAAAATATGGAAAAACACAGCCAAATGACTGCGATATTAAGTCGTAGAAGCTTGCACACCTGCTTTGATTGCTATTATTATTTTCTAGTTTTCACGAGCATGCGAATTTTTAATTCGCTTGTACTAAGAAGTGCGGGGACGGAAGGAATTTTAATGTATTTTTAAACTAGACAAAAGTGGTTTTCAATTATAGCAGTACATTTACATAAGCACTTACACTTGCAGCTGGTAACGAGAGGTGTGCAGTGGATCGCATAGGTACACAAAGATTTGGCTCATTCAGCGTAAGGACTAAATACCAGTTGGATATCACTAAAGAATTGTATACGATGCAGTCAAAAGAACATATCGCAACTGATCCTTGGAGAGTCGCAGTTTTTTAGCTCTTATATCCGAGTTAGAACAAACTGTATGAGCTACGATTTGAAGTTATTAGACTGTCTTTTATTAACGGCTCTCTGAAATAGTCAAATTTTGTAAACAAACTATTAATCATTGAATACTGAGAAACTTAATAAAACAAATTTATCACGAGACCCTGACTAAGCTCTCGAAAAGCTAAAAGACGTACGTGTAATTTTCGCTCTTATGCTTGAAAGCGAGAATTTATATAGAATGTCCATTTCGGAGAATGTTCCAAGAGTATGCAAAAAAAGTGCGATAAGTAATGCGGAAAAGCTTTTAATGTTAGAATACATATATTTTATATTTTTTTTTTTGTTTTTTTTCAAGTACAGTGAACCAAAAATGAAAACTATGCAATATATATAAGTTGTCTGAAATTATTGTTTTTATCGTCTGTTCCATAAATTCTACATCTTATACAGTCCATAGTGTGAGATGTAGAACTCATGAATGTATGTATATAAGCTTAAATGTGTGTATTTATTTGCATATGTTTATGTGATGATTTATATTCATTTATATTCCGTTATGTAAATATTGTTATTTAAACTCGTCACTAAGCCGATTATTTAGTTTGATTGCAGCATTATTAAAAGTGTGGCAATATGCCAGTGTTTAACTGAACGATAAGCGTATAAATATATATGTGTGTAGCTATGTTTGAAAATCTATTTATTTTATAATATAAAAGCTATAATATGATTGGTTACGGTTTTTTCTAATATTTTTTATTATTTCCATTTTGTTTTTTGTTCATATATATTTATTTATTGAATCATTTTTTGCTTCAAAACTTTTGTTTATGCTAATGTACACTGCACCATATTTTTTTATTTATTGGCTAGTATTTAATGAAAAAATAAAAATAATAACTGTATGTTTGAGTGTAACGAGTATTTATTATTAACAAAATAACTGTTATTTTTTGGAAAACACAACACCGTTTGATGGAAGTTATATGAGTGAAGTAAATATATTTTTTAAGGAACTTATCTTAGATAATGCGATAACTTAGAAGCGAGTTTCGCTCTATTAAGTTTCGTCAGCATATTTCGGAACGGTTGTGAGACGGTTTTGGCTTTTTATCTTAAATAATTTGGACCCCTACCATTATTATTATTATTATTGACGGACATTTTTGTGATTTCTTAATTAAAAGTTTTAAAATTTCATTGCGTTACCGTGTAATACATATGCTCCAACCAAAAGCTATCCTTAAACTAAGAGCGACCTGGCATTTGAACGGATATTACGCTTTTAAAACCATTCTACGTTAGTTTTTTGCAATAATTTTCCAACATTAAAAATAATAATATTGTACATAGGAGCTATTACAAAGTATCATCTTAGAAAGTCAAACATATGGGTAGATAATGATTTTTAGCCTTCCAATCACTTAAAATAAATTCACGCTTTATCTCGTTTATCTCGTTTGATTTCATACATTTCCTTTCGTTTTGACCGACCGAGTTTACTTTCACTAACCAACTATGAAAACTCACACACACACTTTATGGCATTTGTGTAATTGTGTGTGTGCATAACTTTTTGTGGAAATGCGGAGTTCTCTCGGATTTAATTTCTTCAAAACAAGTTTTGTATAAAAACTTTGCAAACGCTTGAATTTTGTGCTTCTAGAAGCTAGCTTCTTTCTCATTGCGCCACCAAACTAATTTCGTATTTTATGCCAATATGTACAATCCAAAATGATGTGGTGCCCATTTGCCGCACTACAGCCATTAGTAACCAGCCACACGCGCATGCAAATAACCCTACGATATATGTATGCAAGTATATTAGCACCCAGACATAAACAATCGAGGGGTTTTGCCAACGTGTACGAGCTGCTTTTCTACTCCGCATTCTACTAAACAGCTGAGCACAAACAAATTCGCTAATATTTCAACTCAGCAACCACAATCGGTGATGTCTGATAGAACTAGTCTATTCAGATTGAGAAAGCCCTTAGGAGTGACAACAGCACTTTCGACCGTTAGGTTCAATGAGGATTTGCGAATAAGTAACGAATCTCTTTCAAATATTTTCTTATCGATTGCGAGTCATAGAGATGGGCTGCAGAGTCTTTATCTTAAGAGAAAATTTTTTTTAATAAAAATATAGCTATATTCTTCAGCATATTATACCCCTATAGCTGTAGAGTAAAGCTTTGCAGTAGCTAAAATCTAAAATTTTGTATCCGTTTCTGTGGTGCGAACTTCGAGGCCTTCAAAATAGGAGTGGAAATAAAGATGGAATTATCTCCGAATTAGAGTTTGGATTTTTCGCATCAAGCCAATTTTTGAGTTTCCTATTTCCACAGTTTGCAGTGTCTGAATCTAAAAATATTAGTGGTACCGTCACTTTGAGGACAATAAATTGAAAACCATTGGATAAAATGTCATGAAACTTTGACAGCACTCTAGTTAAGATTATTGCGCTATGAGAAAGACAGAGATTTTTTGGACTTTTCAGCCCATACAATAGTAATCATTTAGCTGGGAGCGATATCAAATCTCACAACTCTCTTTAAAATTCTTTATACAAAACAGAATATTATTGAACATAATGTATAGGCCAGAGGACCAAAAAATGCTACGACGTTGAACTACAAACTCATGTCAATTAGCAGGCGGTATAATAAAGAAACTGGATTTCACTTTGGAAAATCTTGACTGTAAAATAATTTAAAATTTCTATATTAATTAAATATTGATATAAACCACGAGTTTCTTAAACAAGCCACATTAAAGTTTTGATGAGTATGGGTAAAAATATAGAAAAAAAAATTTTAACTTCGGAAGCTGTAATACCTTTCATAAATATTAAATTTACTTACACGAATTTGATTTTGATCTTGTTCGTTCAGTTTGTATGACAGCTATAAGCTATATTGGTCCAATATCAGCCGTTCCGACAAATGAGCAGCTTCTTGGAAATTAAAATCGTTTCAATTATGTCGGATTCTGCTTTTGTCTGTGATTTGAACCCACGACCAACTGTGTGTTAGTTACGCGTACGGTTACTGTGAGTTCACTTACTTACGTGAATTATTTACCTCGATAATATTAAAAAGCCGAACTGACTCATAATTTGTATTTGAATTGCTTTTTTATTACTTTCTTTAAATAATGATGCGAAAAAAGAGAACAGTACGAAAAAACTTAATTGTATGAATAAAATTCGTGAATTAATTATTAATATATTTGTCTGCATAAAAAATTACGCAATATTTTATACAAACATTTAAACATAAATATATTATATTTTTTGAGTGGCAAAATTATTGCGCGTCATTTGTGATTTATAAACCAAGAGCAGCAAAAAATATGGTCCACAAGCGATTATATTCTATATATATATATTATAGCTATTCTACAGTGATAATATCGGTCACACAGCGACACACATAAATTTTAATAATTTTTGGCACATAACTGACTACGTTACTTCGTTGGATTCTCACATTCGATGTGGAAATGGTTTGTACATAATTAATTTAATTACAAGTGCTGTCAAAAGGCAATGCGGAAATTATGGCATGTTTTCAAAATCACGCGTAAATCATTAGCGCACTACACACATACAACATACTAACTAGTCTACATTTGATTTAAATTTTTTTTTTTTGTTTCTTTTATGCTAATTTATAAACATTTTTACAACTTAATTTATTTACAACGTTTGTCGGTCAAAAGCGCAATTTTCGACACACACAGAACATAAATAAAATTATAAAATAATATATGCATACATTTACTTTTAAATAAACAATACAAATACACTTTGCAATATCAATTTTCTTTTTTATTTTCTGAAAAAGTCTTTGCGCGCACTTTTAGCAAGTAAAAGTGGCAAAAACTCGTTTACACTTCACCAGCTTCATTGGTAGTTCCTTTTGTATTCCTGAGCGCGCCTCACGTCAATGGCACCGCCAGTGCATTTGCGACGCTACATGCACGTTTGTCTCGAAAACACGACGTGAATCGGAAGAACACAAGCGGTAATTGTATTTACTGGACTAGCATCTGACTGACCGCAGAGCCAACGACTGTAATGGCCTAATGGCCCGAGGCGCTCAACGCCCAACGCGCCAAATACATTTGCAACTGTGTTGCATGCCACCCAAACAGCCACTCAGACGAAACTCTCCTGACGCGTCAAATTGAATTTGAAATTGCCTTTGCCACTACCGCTACCGCCATACGCGCCCGCAGTCGCTTGCGCGCCAGCACCATTTCCAGTAGAGGCCGTCAGCACACCATCACGGCCGATCTGCTCGACAGTTTGCTCCTGCTTTTGCGCCTGTAGCAGTTGGCGCGCCAAAGCCGAAATGTCTCTGCCATGGCTACCGTCCAAGGACCATGTCTCCATACCCGCACTACAGCCACCAATAGACAGCGCCTGTCGGAAAAAGGCTGGCACGCGATGCTGCTCCAGCAGTTCAATGCCCAGACTAGACTCGTGCACCAAGTGTGTCAATGTATGCAGAATCGCTTTGATAGTGCGACGTTGTGCATCGCTTTCGGCTCGCGATTTGTAGCTTTTATAGAACTCCGTTTGGTATGCGCACGTGATGAAATTTATGATGATGCCATTGGCCAAGTGACTGTGGCACTTCTTGTTCATCGACATGTTGTGCAACATGGCAACGATTTGTTCCTACAATGAAGAAGACAACAGGCAACGAATTAGAATAAGTCGAAATTTGATTGCTAATATTCTAAGAGAAATGTGCCTCATGGCCACTAAATAAGCGTAAGCTTTCACACGCACACACTCTTATGCACGCACAAAAAGCTCAGAGCCCCTGCCGCTGAAACATTTAAAGTGAAGAATTAGTTTGTGCCACAAAACAAAATGATAAATATATTGTAGTCTAAAAGAAAAAGGAAGAAGAAAAATTGCTTTACAAATTCGGAAATAAATTTCACCAGTTCTGATCTCTTCCCTGCACACATTTGGCAGGCGGAAGTAGCTGCACCTTTGCCGCCAACAACCACCAAACTGCTAAATGCTCATCGGCGTCGGTACAAAGCTTAAGCATTTTGTCATTTAGAATCCCTATCACTAGCAGTTGAGTGCGTTTGCCTACCAACTTGTGCCTCCACCCTTCTTTCCACGCAGCCATTTGCTTTTCGTTTCATTCTTCACCCAACCGCCACTTTAATATGCCATTTGAGAAAAAGTTACTTGAAAAGCTTTCAATAAAATTAGAAATTGCATTTTAGTAGCGATTGACTGAGTGATTTATATACTCCAGCGGCCATCCGGCGCGGCCTACAACTGTACCCCTCAAACCCTCAAAACGGCTCGGCATCGATTAATGTCGTTCGTGAGTTCAATATCCCCACACAGCACAGTTGGCTCGGATCGTTGGGCGATTTAGAAGATTTTTAGTTCCTTCTTGTATGCCATTTCTCATTCAGATCTCATACTACTCAGCTTCTTTTGGCATTTGAGCCGCATGCATCACCCTACCTACGTCACTTTAGAGTCTCATAAAAAACACATTCTAATAGAAAATAGATTTTGCCTTTTTGCCTTCGTTTTACTTTGAACTTGTGTTTTTCTGTGGTTAATATATGGTGGCATGTCCCGTTGTATTGGGTGTTTTATTTGTCACTTCGTGCGACCGAAATTGGAACAGTTGAGGAAAGAGACTCAAAATGGGTATTTATTTTTCCATTGCCAATTGAATGTCACACTTATCTTACTAATATACTACTCTACACCAAGTTTATATAGTAATATCGTCTTCACTCCATTATATATATTTTTTTTTCGTAGCCTGTACTTTTTTCCCATAACATACATTTATTCTGCACATAACAACCAAAAGGTTGTCAAGTTTTGATTTGGCATTATCTACTTACGTAAAGAAAAATAGATGCCTCTTCGCCAAGTGTCTGCAACACTTCGATCAATTTAAAGATTGCCTCATTTGACATTATCGAGTAATGTGACGTCACCTCGATGCGACTTAGATTATTCAAAGCGGCTGCACATAACAGCAGCGTCTGCGCACAAGCAGTACTCGTTGTCAACTGTGTCAACCCTTCCACTATGATCTCTGCACACGCCTTCAGGCCATCAACGCGGTGCTCAAGGCCATGCCAAGCAGCAGTGATTTGCGTCAGCAGTGAGACCGCCTCGCGGCGCTCAATATCACCGCGCTTAAACTCGCCTTTGCGCTCTTTACCTGGCACTTGTATAATGTCGCGCACAATTTCAATGCCACCGCATGCGCCAAGCTGCGCAATCGCCGCTGGTGAGCAGCAAACTGTAGCAAGTGCACGCAATGCTTGCGCGCGCACTGAGGATAACTTATTCTCAAGGCAGACGATGAATAAGGCGCGCACGGCTTCATTCTGCACGAACGCATCGGTGAGCGAAGCGAAGCCCTCGTAATCGATGTTCATTAGCGTCGCAATCATGTTGATGTTAGCGCGCAGCATGAGATCGCAATGGCCCTGTTCGACACTTTGTACGATAACGCGCACCATTTTCTCAAACAGCTGACGCAAACTAATCAGCAAGTAGCGCTTCAGCACGTGCACATCATCTAACAACGACTCTAGATTGATATAGTGTTGGCGCTCGAGTGAGTAGCGTGTGTCCTTTGTTATTATACGTATCTGCTCAATATTTTCGTCATAATGCTTGCGATCGGAGCGCGACTCATTGAAGAAGACAGCGCGTCGCTCGAGCACCTGTGTAAACTCGGCGACATTCACCAACAGCTGTTCAGCGCTAGAGAGCGCCTCGTGTAGTGTGGCCTCCTGCGCGCCGGACAATATGCGCTCCACTCGCTCAAAATCCGATTGCATATAAAGAGCGCGCTGCTGCAACTGCCGTATCAATTTGGCTACGGTATTCGTCGTTATCGTTAAATTCTTGAAGGCTTCTTGCGCTATAGATTTAGTCTGTAGTGTAGACATCACTTCATGTTCATATGATGAACGCAAGTCATGCAACCAATGCTGCAGATCCGGCGCATGTCCATTTAACAATGGATTATCATACTCATGTGTGACGTGACGGAAAGACATCTGCGTCCAGGGCTTTGCACAACTGCCTTCTGAGGCTTTCGGTGTGCTCGTACTGGCCAAAAAGCACTGTTCGGTCTCTTTCAGTGGCGATATCGTGTTATCCATATCGAGCGCTTCGTACTTGAGCATATTGTTGTTGCTATCTTCGTTGATGTTGCTCGCAATTTCACCAGCGGCGCCCAGTACCACTGTTTCATTGTTGTACGGCTTTGCGGTGGGAGTTGTGGCAGCCACACCAAGATAGACAGTTTCATTGTTGTAATCTGGCACAACGTGCAAACGCGTACGTGAACGATTATGTTCCGCTGAACGATCAAGCTCATCAAATGAATTGCTGTCTTTTACTGCGTTGCCGGCATCGCGCTCCTCATCACTGTTATTTGTTTCCTCGAGTAAGGTGCGGCGCTTTGTGGGTGACAAGGGTTTCGTGGGCTGACGTATGATACGGCGGCGTCGTTTCGGTTGCTGTTGTTGCGCTTTCTGCGGTGCGGGAACGGCCAGTCCACCGCTCGCATTGGCATCGTCGAAATTCAATTTCTTCGCAGCACTCACAGCCTCGTCCATCAACAGCTCATCAGCAGACAAGCATTTTGACAATGCTGACGTTGAATCTTGCTTCGCGGCTAATGCGGCATCCAGCGCGGTCGTTGTGGCAGGTGAACCGGAAAATGATATACGTCGCGATACGTTAACCAGCGGTGAATAGAATTCCGATTTGCCTACGCGTCTGATAACTGTGGGTGGGGTCTCAACCGCCGCTGAGTGCACTGAACTCGGCGAACTGGCCGCACTGCGCGCGCTGCCCGTTGATTTGGCGCTGGGTGATGAGGGTTTCGACGAACGTCCTCCGAGACTGCGACCACTGTGCGACTCATCATTATCAGAGAAGCCGGAGTCCTGCAAATATTCGCCAAGCATTGAAATGTGTGCTGATTAGTAACAATGCATATATAAAGATATTTAGTATAGACTACAAGAGAATTATATACGATGAGTGTCATCTTATGATGTAATATCACTCACCTGACTGCGTAGACTGCCAGGACTGTCACGTTTGCCCCACGACAACTTTGAGTTGTTCTGTTCGTCATCGACTTCCTGTATACGCGACAAATTGCTCAAGTGCGAACGAAAGCTCCCCGAATCCAGCGAATGATACCCGCCACTGTGGTTGTTGTAACGCGAACGCTGCGCGTTCAGTTGTTGTGTCTTTTGTGTGAAGTAAGAGCCGTAGTAAAAACCGCCACTTGTCAAACTGCTGCCATCGCCGATGGAGGATGCGCCACCAGCCGCTGAAGATAGCGCCAAAGATGAGGGTAACTGTTGATTATCAGAGCCCCACCACACTTTGCTGTAGCTGCGTTGGAAAGCCATTTTTTGTTTGTTGGTAATAAAGCTGAGCTGGAAAATTGGTTGATTTAGATGATCTGTAAGCAAGAGAGGAAAGTAGAATTAGTATGAAGTTAATAACTTGAGTTGAAAATTTATAATCGTTATACTACAGTATAGCTACTGCACTCAAAATGTGAAAATAACTAGGAAGTTCAGAGCACAGCTAAATGGGAGTGTGTGGTTTTGGGTCAATTAAAATTTAATTTAAAATTAAAATTAAATTAATGAATAAAATAAAAAAATAAAAAAAATTAAAATTAGAATTAAAGTTAAAAGTAAAATTAAAATTAAAATTAAGTAAAATTAAAAACAAAACTAAAATTAACATTAAAACTTAAGTAAAAAATAATATTAAAATTAAAATTAACATTAAAAGTAAAGTTAAAATTAAAATAAAACTAAAGTTAAAAGACAAGTTTAACTTAAAATAAAAAATTTTAAATTATAATTTTAATATTGATTTGGTATACAACGCCACATTTAGCACAAGTTTGTCTCCCCCTATATAAATATGTGTAATAGGGTATAACGAAGCTTGCAATTAAATGTGCAAATATACCGTTATTTGTAGAAGTACTTAAAAGTGCATTTGTAATACACAAACAAACCCATGAGTTGAGTGCATTTACAAGTACAAATACTCTCGTTCCACCTGAATGACCGGAACAACTACGCACACACACACACATTCACATCACAGTTACAAGTATAACTTACAGTTACACTTCTGATGTTGCCATAGTTATACAAGTACTCCACAACACAGTACTGCACTCAACTTTGATTCCAGGTAACTGGACACAGTCACACACCCACACAGGCACAGAACACACACATTGATAGCGCAAACGTCAACAGCTACAGCAATCGAACTTATTTAACGAGAATTACTGCAAAAATTGGCATTTTATTGGTTTCCACTATGCACCGTTTCGCATGCAGTGGTTGAGGCGAAAATGGAGGGAAACTGCTGGGCGTGCAATAAGTGTGTGTACACAGCCACGGTATGGTAGAGCAATATTTGTTTATGTGTGTGGATGTGTGTGTTTGTGTTATTACGTATTAGAAATCGTACATTGATTGCTGCCATTTATGAGTATTTGAAATGGGTCAACTCAGGTGTTTGACTTCTAACGCTGGTTTATAAGCATATTCCCGAGTAGAGAGTTAGATTTTGAGTGTGCTCATAATAAGTGCAGTATGCTGCTATTTTTTACTTGATGGTGGGCAACTTTGCGTGTAAATATGCATAATACAAAGCTGCCCGCTCTTACAAAATATGATTGGTCCATCTTTACGTGCTTTGAATTTTTTTGGTGGGTGAGGAAGTAATGAGTTGGGTAGTACTCCTCAGATTGTTGAGAAGTTCGCCAAATTAATACATTTCAAATTTGAAAAAATAAAACATTTTAAAACGGTAGCAAATCGTAGAGGATGGTTGCCATCTATTTTGAAGTTTTACTTATTTTTTATTTATAATTTTCTTAATACATATCTAATTGAATTTTTTGTGCAAAGAGTTGCCACCCTTTTAAATTATTACGTAGTTATATTTATCGAATTTAAAATTTATTTCTTTAAACATTTTGTTATATTTTTTGTGAAAATAGTTGCCACCTGTTTTGAACAATAAAATAAATAGAGATCATCAGACGCATAAAGACTACTTTATAAAGCGGCTTTAAAACGCTGATTTTGGTGAGATGCCACTTTTCGGTATTTTACTATTTTCACTAAGCGCATTTTGTTAATTGAAAAAGTAAAAAGCCATAAATTCAATTATCATATGTCGAAATCCCAACTATGTCTATGCAACATTAAATTGTCCATTTAACTATTTAATAATTCCAATTTCCCCCACTTCCTTAGCTTTGTACCTAACATTTAAGCTAGAGAATTGTTAAATATTACTATGAAAAAGAAACTGCACAGCAAACAATCACAATATCAATTTTATTACATTATACACATATTTATATATTGCATCGTATTTTATTTTCCAAGGATATGGACAAAGAGCTTAAGCGCTATTTTACTATACTCGCTCCCTCCGCACAACACGTCTGCATTCAGTATACTTTTTAATTTGTAATATATTTGAAGCAACATTGATTGTAGCAATGTAACAATGCAACAATACATAACCGCATAAACAAACAACGTTTTATGTGCACACCCATTACACACGTACAAATAATTTCCACTTACTTCGTGGAAAAAATGGAAACAGTGAAAGGCTAGTTGAACGCAAAAGGACACAGACCAGTTGCCAACCAGTTACTAAAACAGTTGAAAGTAGAGCGATTTTAGATGTGATATTTAACAAAATACAGCTTTACTGAAGATAAAATGTTCTTAATGACCATATTTTAAAGAATGTCTTATATCATTTATAATTTATAATATAAAGTTTCGTTCTATGCTAAAGTTTTTATAAAAATTATAAATAATGTAAGAACAAAGCATTAACACAAAATTTCCTGCAGGGCATATAGTGGGTACTAGTTACTACTATGTTGCGTATACGCCATGGCACATACGCACGCAATTTTAAAAGGTTGGATGCCATAAAAGACACACATATACACATGCACAAAAGCCGCACAAAAGCGAAATAGAGCAACACAAATAACAACGATTGTGTGTGTTTGTGTACAACAACAACAAGAGCACGCTGATTGTTGCCATATTGAAATATGACACAATTTTAATTTCCGCAAGAAAAAATTAAATTTCCGCTTTTACGTTGGCATTTTTGTGTCTCTTTTATAATATGAATAAATAATAAAATTATTTTAAAGTGTAAGCAATAAGCAAAAAGCAGTAAGCATTGTATGTAATATAAAGTAAATGCATTGAGTGTAAATCAATGAACAATGCGCTAGTGTTTATATGGATTTTTATTAGTCTTTTGTGCGAACACGCACACACATCGACATGTATAGAGAAGGTCGCGCATGCACTTACACACACATACAAAGTGTATCAGGTCATACGCTAAAGCTTTTTGCTATTCGTTGTTTGCAAATATTAAAATCTTTCATACTTAAATACGAAATCAATGTCGGTCAGTAGTCGGTGTATAAAAGTAAAATGTCAATGCGTTGAAACATAACTTCGCTTTAGGCCGTATGTAGAGTGGCTTTGTATATAAAAATATATTTAATAAAGATTTCCGAGCGATTGCGAGTGGCTCATAAACATACTACTGTGTATACTCGTGTGTACTCCAAGCTTAAATCCACTGACAACTAAATTTGCACAGTTCAGCATTTTTTAAAAAATTTTCTTTTTATGAGTGTGTTGAAGAAATAAGTATAATAAAATTGAGAAACAACATGCGTTGTTCGAAAAATAACATTTTTTCAACTTTTTTACACACTGCAGCTCGAATATTTTTTTTACAATTGAAAATTGTTTTCTATACTCTCAACATTTTTTTATAATTCAAAATTGGTGTTAAATGTAAATTTTTCATTTCTTTAACCTACAATTCGAAATGCTTTTGACACAAATTGGAATAATTAAGAACAACTTCATTGCCAGAGAATACATAAAATCACCAAAACAAGATTTGAGTGCAACACGGCGTATACGTAACACTTCGGAGACATACCATTCTACTTGATGTACGATGATATTAGATAGAATGCAAAGTGTATGCATGAGTAACACCAAAAATCCACAAGCTGCTGTCATTTCATATATATTCAACAAAATCAATGTGTTTTCGACACCAACACGCATAAGCAGACCAGCACTCGCATAATCTTGTAAACACATACACACACCACATGCGCATCAAAAATATGAAAAGTAAACTTTGTAAATATGTATGCATTTATTTATTTGACTGCACTTGTCTAAGGCAGATAGATGCTTATGTAAGCGCGCGCGTGTGTATGTGTGTGTGTGTGTGGGTATTAAGTTACCGCAAATTCGAAAAGCACTCAATGAATTTTTGAAATGTCGGCAAGGCAAGCAAATACCAGCAAAGTTAGTGTGGCGAAATTTTGTGAAAATCTCAGCATAACAACTACTTATAAGCAGCTTAAAGCAAAAATAGACAAGGTACGTTTACTAAGTAAGTGATATTTTCAAATAAATAGTATTAAATGCGAGCGCTGGAACCTTTACTATATATATATATGCTCGTTTGCATAAATTTTAAGTAGAGAGAGTTGAAAAAATGTGGAAAAATTAAATAAATATCAAAATGTATACATTTTCAATGAAAACGAAATGAAACGAATGAAGAATGAAAAAAATTAAAAAAAAAAGGAATAATACTTTTATATAAACAAAATTTGTAATATTTGTCTTAATTAAACATTTAAACAAGACAAGATTAATCAAAAATACTAATAATTCTTTAAGTAAAATGTTTAAGACTAAGACAAAATTAAACAAAATTAATAATCATTTTTTTAAAAAAATTTTTAATTAAGACAAAACTCTTGGAATAATATTCAAAACATTTTAACTGCATTTAAATCGAGCTGTCCTCTTATATTACTACGTGTATAAGTCGCATTAAATTATATTCAGGTGGCATTTAAATGGCAACATTTCACAGCAGAACTTTACTGATTTCATTTTAAATAAACAAATAAACAACATTATTTCCGATGTAACAAATCGAATTAACACCAAGTATTGAAAAGTATTTAAATTTTATTTGAAACATATTTATTCAGCCTTTATATTTATATGCTGAAATAATAACGTAATTGATCTGAAAGCACGTCTGTATGTTTTGCGCATATTTGTGCTTGTGTGCATGTGTGTGTGGGTGTGATGTAAATTTGAGAAATTAATTTCATTTTGAATTAAAGCTGACCACGGAAGTTCAACTGCTTTTCCTTGAAGCCACTTTAAAATGCCTACAATTCTACAAGCATATGTACATCTGTGTGTGTGTGTGTGTGTGTGCATGCAAAGTGTATAATTCGGAGCCACTTTAGCTGAGCATTGCCAGCTTGTAAATTTAGTTGTTGTTTTATTGTTTGTTTAATATTTGATTAGGCATAATGCG